TAATGGTACTAACCCTTGTGACTCATATTTTAGTACAGATGATGCTGGTAGTTAATATAAAGATGCTGACAGTTGCCTAAAACTAGTTCTGCTGTATTTTAAGTCATAAACCAGAAGGGCTGGTGGACTTGTTTTGCAGAACGCGTTTGCATTATGCAGGGATATTGGTATTAACAGTACAAAGGGGGTAAACATGAGGTCATAAAATGTATGATTCGGTGAACTGATTTTGACTGCAATTATGCATTAGAGATATTAATGAGAAGTCTGAAAAATGAATTGACAATGCATGTAGATCTAATCATAGCAAAGGGCCTTCCAAAGCGGTGCCACAGAAGCTCCTCATTTGCCTTCTTTATCCACTGATGCAGGTGTAAATGAAGTTCCTACAGGCTGATTAGCCTAGATCATCTCCCAGCACAGTGCTTCTGGGAGAGGAAAACTCAGATTTTCCGATGGTGGATCCGATCTGCAAGTGATTCCAATGCAGGTTGTTTGTATGGCTTCTCCTTTTTTTTTTTTTTGGTTGTTGTCAGACGTTTGTTGTACTGCAATGGTTTCGTTTTTGCAGCACAGACTTCATTCCTCGGTTTCTTTTACTGGAATACTGTCTGATCAGTTGACTTCCAGATGCTCTTTCCAGTTTAAATTATTCTGTGATTCCATCCGGTACCAACAAGGACCCTCTGTTTAACGTAACTTTCTGCTGTAGAATCTGTTCTGCCAGCCGAAGCCTACCCAGCCACAGCATGGTGAATATTAATCGGTTGCTTATTTAACGCAATCAGTCAGTACAAACTCCAGATCGCCTGAGGCTGGAGAAAGTATTCACGTCCTCACACTTCTGACGAGACATCCGCTCCTAGAGATGACAGAGGGGAAGACAACCTGTGCCGTGGCTCTTAGGTCCTCAGTTTCCATGCAGGGATGAATAAATAACAGACTGTGCATGTTACTTGAATAAGTGTAGCACTAATGAGTCTCTGGATCTGGGTATGACAGGGGAATAGCAAATGTAATGCCTATGGTTAAGAAAGGAAAGTGAAAATCATTCGGTCCGGTATTGGGTCTTCAGACTTCAAAGTACGTGTTCAAGGGAAAAAATAGAGTTATATAGTTTAAAGGGGAATAGATGGAATGCATCATGGATTTATAGACTAATTTTTCACTGTGTCTGATTGCCTTCTCTGTCTCTATACAAGTGAAGGTGATTTTGGAGAGAAGGCTTATTTAGGTTAAGGAGCAGTGCAGGCACAGTGCAAATCAGTGTGAATTGTCCGAGGAGAACAATGACTGAATCTTTTTAACTGTCAGAATAATGGGACTGTGTAATTGTCTTTATGTCTGAATACCAGGCGGCAAGACCTAAATTCTTAAGACAGAGCTTGCTTGTAAGAGGACACGTTTCTGGCAAGTGCAGGATGCTAAAAGTGAAAGCAAAAAAATTGCTTCCAGGCCTGTGTATTTAAGATCGTGCTGTCTTACTTCTGTTACGCTGACTCAGGTTTGTCACCCTCCAAGGAGCAGGGCTCTTCCTGCAGGTGCAGCCATGCAGCCCTCACCCTCTGTTGCGTGAGGAGTGGGTGACTCCAGAGAAAGACTGGATGCAGAAAAGCTCTTCAGAGAGCTGTCCCAGCTAAGGCAGGCTGGCAAGGGAAGCTAAGGCTTGTAAAAGGATGAAAGGACTTGGTAACGCACAGGAATACAAACAGGAAGCGCTCAGGAAAATGAGTATAAAATGAGTGGATTTGTTTCCCTGTAGAAAAATCAGGGAAGGTGACTCAAGCACTGGAGATGGTCACAGAGGTGCAGGTAGTGTAGTCACTGAAGAACAAACCACCTTCCCAGAGGCAGAACTGCCTTCACGGTAGGAACACAGCAGAGGAAGAGGAGTCAGCAAGGAGTCTGTAAGGGACGGAGGAGCAGGTAAGCCCTGCGGCTGATCGCTTGGGCTGCTGCGGCGGGGAAGGCGCTGGGGACAGACTAGCACTCAGGACTGGCAGGTACCTAACAGCAATGTGTGGAAGGGCTGCCAAGACCAGCCAGCTCTAGCTGGATGCAAATAGCCTGAAAGCTCCACTGGGATAGCTAGAAGGCGTGACTCTCAGGTGAAAGACCTAATGCACATCTCTCACATGGGCAGGAGGGATTGATCTGGAGGAAGGAGGGCACTGAAACCTGAAAGGGACACAGACCTGACAATAGCTGACAGACCCGGCCTTGACGAGGCAAGGCTAATAAAAATAATGCATAGATCTGTGCAGGACCTTGTTACTAGTAGGCATGAGGAGAACACAGCTGAAAGAGAGAACATGAGCATATCGTCTGGCCCCATGAACGTGAGAAGCCATAGAGCCTGCTCTTAAAGGGGCAACCATATTAAGATTTTAGAGGTAGAGAGGGCAGGCAATACAACCAGTGAAGATTGATACTGCTAATGCCTACACAGTGTTTTCCTTAGTTCTGTGGCCACTGGAGATTATGGAAAACTCTGAAGAGAGACCTCAGCAAGCCGGGGGTCTGGTCTGTCACAGAAAAGCAAGTCTACAGCAGCACCTATGTGAGGTCTGTGAGAGGAGGGCCAGTTTATTCCCACCAGTCTGATCCAAAGGGACACAATTTCCTACAAAAAAGAGCCATGAGAGCAGAACATAAATGCTTGCAGGAGGGGGTGCTTGTGTGCGACACTAGCATCCCCCCCCCAGTGCACGGAGCCTTCCAGACTCCGCCGGGGTCTGTGATTCGCTCTGAGAGGAAACTGCATCTCCAGCAGCTCCATCCCTCCACGCTCCGCTCTGTGCCCAGCTGTGAGGGAAGCTGGCAGGACGGGGGGAGCCATCCTTTTCCCAGCCCCTCGCTTTGGTGCCGAGTGCCCCAGGGGCACGCGCTGTGCACAGCCCTGCGACCCGGCGGTCTCCCAGATGTGGCTGGAGATGGTGGTGGTGGTGTGTCCTGTGCAAAGTGCTGTGCCTGCCTCTGCACGTCGGCTTCTAAGTAAAATGCATTGCTGAGAACAAGGAGCTTAAAAAACGTATTCATAAACCCAGCAGAGAACAGGATAGATACATCATGCTGAAAGATCTCTCCTACAGATGTCAGAACATCCTTATGCAGAAGAGCCCAGAAGGTAGAGCATGTCCTGGGAGTGTACTGCCCACTCCCATCTTCTGAAGATGTCTGGAGCTGTGGTGACATGCAGAGTCATCTGCTTTTATTTATTTTGTAATTATTTTTTTTCTTCTCCTCTCTACTGTTTTTGGAAGAAACTTAGAAGTGGATTCTATCCCAGGGAAAGGTAGGCTGAACTCACAGGTTACCTTTTGCTCACCTTGCCATCCTCAGTGTCCTGGCAGGGAGTAGCAGCAGTGTGCAGGACGGACGTCTGGGTTTTGATGTCTTTGTCACATTCAGACCAGGGAAGTGACTATTCCCAAGAAGTCTCAGTGACTGAAAGGGGTGGGGGAGGGAAGCAGTATCTTCCAGTGGTACTGAGTAAAATGGCACAAGGACATCTCTCCACTCTCACCAGATCTTTACAGAATGGGCTCAAGGCCAGGCCTGTGAGCAGAACCTGATGGGCAAATTGGATGTTTTTGGATCCCAGATGGAGAAGAAGGAGCTCCATGGCCATTTTCCTCTGTGTCCCCCATGACCATCAGCCTCCTGCCCTTGTGGCAGGCTCCACAGCAGCCGTCACCTTGTGGGGCCTTTGCAAGGGGCATCATTGTCATGGGAAGGCAAAGCACATGTGAGCTGTCTGGCAGCTCAGTCAGGAGAGGCTGAAAGAGATGGAGGTCACAGACCCATTTCACTAATGGGTGGTGATTTAGGGGCGCATTATAAACTGGCCCCAGGTACCCAGACTGGGACCTGCTTGGGTGCCCTGCAGCTGCCGACCTCTTGCCCTGACCTTCTTCCCACACAGCCAGGATGCAGATGGGCAGAGGAGGGTGGTTTGCTGCATGCCTAGGTCTCATCCCAGTGTGTATTCACATTATGATTGTTGATTGATTTGATGTGCAAAGTACTTTTAGACACAAAAGAAAAAAAAAAAAAAGGAACAGGCACGATTTTCTAACAAGTAATGTCATTTAATGAATGATATACTCTAGAAAATAGAAACTACCCAGATGCTGGTTGGTTGGTTTGTTTGGGACTGGGAGAAGGCCCTTGCTTGGACATACAATGCCTTCTCTGGATTCTTCTGTCAGCATTTGTAGTTGCTGGAAACAAGGAAATGTCCATATCTTGAAAGAGACACTAAGGGGGCAATTTTTTTTCTAAAACATGGGAATTATGCAAAATGCCTTCCCACCCTGTCTCACTGGGCAAGTGGCATGAAGGGCTCAGAGCTCACCAAGTTCTTTACAGATGACTCGTACCTAAAAGGGATTGACTCAACCAATGGTACCAACCAGAGTCAGTCCTCTAAAATCTTCAGAGATGTCTCGCTTTGCAAAACACCCTGTGGGCTCTGGTGTTATTGTACTTCTTTCTGGGTGCTTTTCTGCATGTGTTGTGTCTCATCCCTCAAGGTCTGGCTGCTCATTCCAGGGAATATGCTTTTCAGAATGTCACAGTACACTGTGTACAGCTCTGGGTCTATTTTGGGCTTGGGCAGGGATCGGGCATTGCAGGCCTGCTCAGTGACGGAGTGCTGTAGGAAGTAGACGTCGCTGAAGAGTGCAGTTAGGATCTTGTGTGCGGCCTTGTAAGGGTCATCTTCAAACTGCACCATTGCCTTGAGCTCCGTCAGGGTATAGCCATTGTAACGCTTGCTGTCTTCGGCCAGGGGCTGCACAGTCTCACCGATGTGTCTCACTTTCCACTTCAGGCATTTCAGTTCTTCTTTTACATCCTCTAGTTCTCTCTCCACGGCCTGGAATTCCTTCGTGGTTACAAATCTCCTGCCAAGGAAAGAAGCGGCAGACACAGTGTGGAGTTCCGAGGCTCAGAAGAATGAAATCAACCCTGCTTGCCTGGGGTCGGACCACAGAGCCTGAGGTTTGGGGAGGTACCACCCATGTCACTGAGTACCACCACCAGCTCTTACCTGTCTGGCTTCATAGGGACAGCAGTTTCTTTCTGCTAGAACAGGGAGAGATGTGCTTTGTCATTTGGAAGGAAATGAGGCACCTTAAAGCTGTGCCCCCTTGGAGGAGCTGAGGTTGACAACCTGGCCCATGGGGGGTCTATAGTCAGGTCTGGAGAGTTAAGTGAATGTATGGAAAACATGGTATTTCGCTTTTTGGATAACAGGGCTTAGTGGGACACAGGGTAGTTATGGGAAAACAAAGACTGGAAACATCTAAGTCACAAAAGGTATTTGAATATTTTTTTTTATGAGGATCTCTTAATGACCAAGTTGAGTCATTTGAGGACTTAAACATGTGTATGGTCTGGATACGTACCTTTCATGATCAGGATCTTCCAGATCTGATTCAAAACCCTTTCCTGTATTCTTGAATCCAATTTTAGAATAACCAGGAGACTGGGAACTATCTTCAGGAGTCTTTGTTGCGGAAGGCCTTGTGCTTTTCCTGGTTGGGGTCAGTGTGTGATCTGATGCTGAAGCTTGTACGTTTTGTGCTGTGTGAGGACAAAAGGTGTAGAAGAAAGTTGCATTGATCCCTGGGCTGACTGGAGAGGAGTCAGAGTATTGCTGTGGCTTGGCTGAGCTGGGTGTTAGACTGAGCCTGGGGCTGGCTGGGCAAGAGGCGGGAACAGTCCTTGCTCCGAGTTGGCTGGAACAAGATATTGCTAAATTTTTATCTCTTTGCTCAAATGGTTGAGGGTTTGGTGATTCTCCTGGGGCCAATCTAGTGATGGAGGCAATGTCCAGCAGGGTTTGATCCTGAACCATGGAGATCTGGCTGGTCGGTTCTGATGAAAGTGAAGAGCTGCTTGATGTGTCGCTGGAAGAGCTTGACGTAGCGAATGGGGGTATTTTCTGAGCATTATGGTCACTCCTGTTCCTCTGCGTGCTAGTGACATTTAGAGCTGGGTGTTGTGAAGCCCTAAAGAAAGACAAAGACAAGCTTTTTCCTCTGGACTGGGCTAAAGGCTTGTAAGGCAATTTTAGGCCTATTTTGGAAAAATTTTAAGCCTGGTTCCCATAACTGCATTTCCCCATCGGCTGACTTGCTTCTCATGTCTGTATAAAACCCTCTGCTTCTCATGACCAAGAACAAAGTGATTGATAATAAAGCACATAAATTCAGGACTGGTTCCTCCCTGGTGCCAGCTAAGCATTCGCCAGCTATCATCAGCGTGATAATCACTGGCACACCGGTGTTCTCCTTCCCAAAGTCACACAGTTCTGCGAGAACCAGGGATTTGGTGCTGGGGAAGGACAGGAAGGGAAGAAAGCTACTGGAGTATTGGCTGTGACAAATTCCAGTAAGAATGCAAAAGGATGAATCCCAGCGTGCAGGTTGCCACAGCACCCGCCCTTAGTCATCTCTGCAGAGCGCGAAGACCTGCCTTCACCTTGTACCCACATGCTTCAGTCTCCTTGTAGCTCTGCGCGGTTACCCAGGGAATTAGGGGATGAACAAACAGGCAAGATAAAAACAGAAGGGCAGCACAGAATGACATCATTGTTCCTGTGCTGACATTATAGGATGCTTCTTTTACACAGCTCAGTGTGTTAAGGACTTTCTTTCCCCGTGCCCTAGGCTATAAACTTTGTACAGGGCTGACCAGCTATTCTAGGTGACTGGAAATGCCAACAGCATGGGATACCTGACTACCCCTCCTGTGTATTGTTTCCTGTACTTTCCTCCTGGCTGCTGCCAGGCAGCAGAGATCCCAATTTTTACATTTTTAAAAATTTTTCCTTATGGCTAAATGTTGCTTAGTTTGGCAAGACTGATGGCAAGAGAAGAAGATGTAGCCCTGGAGACTGGCACTGTCCTGATGGGTAGCGAATGCAGCTAGAAATGCCTTGACCTTGAAGGGGAACACAAACATACCCACCGTGCAGATCATGATTCAGGATTTCTAACAGCCCAAGGACATGACAAAATTTTGTAGAAACACCAGTGACTAACCGAGTCTTCTTGTGCATCTGGTATATTCGTATTCCTCTTGTGGTGGAGCAGAAAATCCTGGTCTCGCTGGGTTATATAACATCTAGTGCATGAAGTCCTGTCCTGTTAGTACCGGTGGCTTGAATTAGCTACATATTCACTTCTGCACCTTTCTCAGTGTTGGATTCAATTAAATGCCAGATTTGTAAGGTCTTAAAGAGCATGCTTCACACCTACTGGCTTCAATAGGGTAAATTAAGGCCTTTGCTAGATCACAGCATAATTATCAGCTTTAAATCAAATTTAGAGGTTTTATAATTGGAAAAGCAGACAGTAACAGAGCTACTGCATAAAAACAGATTAAAAAAAAAAGAAGCTTAAAATGAGTTATATACAAAGCAGGAGAGAAAACAGGAACACACGTGTCAGAGGGAGCACCCTTAACCAGAAGTACCTTGCTTTCACAAACTGGTCGAACAGTGGTGGAAGACAAGAATTGCCAGCCAGAGGTAAGGAAAAGCTTTTTCACCCTGAGGGTGTCCAAACACTGGAACAGAGGCCAAGAGAGGTACTGGGATCTCCATCCTTGGAGGTATTCAGAACTCAGCTGAAGGGGGAGCTACGCAGGCTGGTCCGACACATGTGCAAGGGCCTGGACTAGGGACTTCCAGGGGCCGTCAACCCTGTGTTAGTCTGTGATTCAGTGATTCTGCCTAGCTATGAAATTAACTTATTTCACCCCCAGTTTCCTTTTCTCCTTCCACTTTTCTCCTCTCTGAGTCCCATCTCACCATCCTTCACTTCCACTGGAGCCTCTGGGCTGTCCCCTTCCATACTGACTTTATAGTGCCAGTTGCAGGAGAGTCCCTCACAGATAAGAAGGTTTTTAAAGGAAAACCAGTGTTACTCGCAGCCCACTGGCTCAGACAGATTGCTACCCCTTCGCATAAGTCAGAGCAGGCAGCTGAGGCCTTTGGCAGTGGCAACGCGCGTAGCCTGGAGCTGGGCATCTTCGTTGTGCTGCTCTTGTGCCTTCAGCTGCTGTTTCTTGGTGTCTCCTGGAAGCAAGGCACGATGGTTTGTGGCATGTTTGGACATGCTGTGGACATGTTTAAAAAGTTGGAATTTGGCACAGGTGAAGCTGTGATACTCAGAAACCTTGTAGACTTGTGAGGGTCAAGAGCCAGAGCTCCTGGCCAAGGAAGCCATCCCCGCGCCCCGGGGAGCAGGCAGACAGTGAGAGAGCTCTCTCAGCTCATGGGCTGCACTGGGACTGGGAGGAGTGGGTGTGCTGGTTTTGGCTGGGACAGAGTTAATTTGTTTTCAGTAGCTAGTATGAGGCTGTGTTTTGGATTTGTGCTGAGAAGAATGTTAACATACAGATGTATTTAGTTATTGCCAAGCAATGTTTATGTCAAGTCAAGGACTTTTTCAGTTTCTGATATTGCTCGTGTCCTCCTAGCTTCCTGTCTACAAGAAGCTGGGAGGGGACATAGCCTGGACAGCTGACCCAAACTGACCAAAGGGACATCGCATGCCATCAAACGTCATGTTTGGTAGGTAAGTTGAGGGAGTTGGCCGGGATGGGCAATCACTGCTTGGGGACTGGATGGGTGTCAGTTGGCTGGTGGTGAGCTGTTGTATCTTTTTTTTCCCTTTTTCCTTTTTTTCATTACATATTATGACAATAATAATTAGTAGTAGTAGTGTTTTCATTACATGTATTTATTATTATTTTATTTCATTTATTTTTGATAAGTAAGCTGTTCATATCTCACCCCCCAAGATTTTTTTGTCTTTTTCCTCCAATTCTCTCCCCCAACCTACTGGGGAAGGGCAAGGTGAGCAAGTGGCTGTGTGGTGCTCAGTTGCTGACTGGGGTTAAACCACATCAGTGGATAAAGGCCTTCTGGCACAAAGAACAGAATTACTGGTTATTTAAATCAGAGACGAATCTCAGGCATTCCTTAATCTGCACTACAAAACCCCACATTCAGGAAATACTTTTTGCTGTGGCAAAGTGTAGGAAACTTATTCTGATAAGAGCAAACCCCTTTTTAAGGCATCCAGAATAAAAATGTCACTTGTAACTTTTTTGTTAAAAATATGACTATTTGTCCTCAAATATCTTGCAGTGTAAAAGTATCTGAACATTAAGTGAGCAACAGTCCCTACCTTTCTCCTGGGGGAAAATATAATATGCACAGTAACTGAAAGGCTATTTGGGTGCATATACAATCTGAAATACTTCATTTCACGTCTTTAGCAGTGTTGGACAGGGTTGGCTTTTGTGTGGTGTGGGTTTTCTTTTCTTTTTTTTTTTTTTTTCCCATAAATCCAGGATTAGCTGTAGGAGATGGAACATTTATTGAAAGATGCAATTTAAAAGAGTGACAGGAAACACGTTTCATAACTAATCTCGCTGAAATTTATATAAGAAACATTTCCACTTCACCTGTGCACTGGAGGAAACAAGAATATATTATAAGCTATCGCTTTATTTTGCTTTCCCTTTCCACCCTTTAATTTTCACTGGCTGCAGTGCTAACCATGGGACTGAATTTACTTTTATCATGCTTATCTCAGAAGCAGAGAAGCTGGTTGCTTAAGAAGCAAGCTGACGCTTGTTAAAGCAAAATGCCAGTCTGGATTTTAGCAGAGGTAAATGAGGACAGAACTGAGACCCGTAACTTTGGAGTTTCCTAGTGGGCAAAGGTTTGCCTGAAGACAGGAATGACATTCCCATTGCTTTCCATGTAGCAAGGCTGGATCTTAGTTCTGTAACCATGGTGCTTTATCAGGGGGGAATATTTTCCCACCTGTTTTTATGTAGTGAATCACTACGAACTGAATAAATTACAGGAAGAATTGCAAGAACTGGAGTTGAAATCGGTGCTGACATGAAATAGGAAGGTGATTGCAGCTGTCAGGTACCTCCACAAGGAGAAACCTTGACTCAACTTTGAGTGACACTTCACATGCGTCAAGCCCTTGTTGTCTGCCTTCTTCCAGCCCTGTGCTGCTCAGCATATAAAGCACGTTCCCTGCTGTCAGAGTGACCTTGTCTGCCGTCTGTGCCTTGCCCTCTCCAGCTGAGCTTGTGCAACAGACTTTTCGTAGCGCTGAATTTGGAGACATTCGAAAGTTGCCTGCAAATCCAGTGTCACTTTCCTTCTGTGGCACTTGCGACCAAGAAAAAAACAGTGGGTATTCCTTTTTTTATGAACCATTTCCACCATGGTTTAAATCTAGAATTCTTCTGGTGATCTCGTTTGAACAGAAAAAAATGACAATATGCTTCACAGTGAAGCACTGAGGGGCTGGCTGTGTAAATCTTACTGTAGACAGCCAGGGGTGGGAGGATGGTAGAAGAGCTGTGGGATGGACCCAGGGGAAATGCCTGCAGGGTGATGGTGTGAGGATAAAATTATTTTATTCAAGACCTCTTCTTTGCCACGTGACCCTCCTAAAATGCCCACGCTGCCAAAACAGTGACTATATGATTTTTTGAATGCTGAATTCATTTTGAATAATCTTTTGAGTTTTGTGGGAGAAAAGCTGGTGTCCTGGACCCTGGGTTTATCTGCCTCAAATAACACCCAAGGCTTTTAGCCACAGACAGTAAGAGTATGCTGTTTCTTGCTCAGCTCTTGGCTCTTCTGAGCTCCCCATCTCCTCTTTGGTTTTGCCACCATACCTGTGCCTCCTCATGACATTTCTCCCGCCTCTCTCTTACCCCTTGTTCTGCATCTATCATCCATACCTCTCGCATCTGCCCTGTGGGTCCCAGGCACATTGATCTCAGCATCAGGCTCATCACATTAATGCCAACGGTGGGAGAATGATGGAGGAGAGGAGGGAAGTGGCATGGAAGGAAGACGTCTGAAAACAGGTACAATTGCTGTCTGGAGCCTGATAATAGTGAGCAGTTCTTGTTAATAAATAACGGTGCAACAAGAAAAACAATTCTGGTGTGAAACTTTCTCTTCTATTGTTTTTAAGTAGCAACTGTGCACAACCGGTGCATTGAGATCCCCCAGCCCTGCACTCTGAGAGAAAAAGTTGAGACCTCCAAGGTCAAAAATGGCAGCAAATAGACTATTGAGCATTTTGAGATTTGCAGTGGAAATGCTAGATGTGGTATGAACAAAAGATGACTGGGGATATCAGATGTATAGGGGCCAGTGCCATATGTCTGCACAGGAAGGCAGCTTGGTGAGAGCAGAGGATGCCAGTTTATAGCTAGAGCTCCCTGATGCTGTTCTTAGCCCAGCTCAGGCAAGTTTAAACCCTGTTAAAGGAAAATTATAGTTTAGTGATGGACATTAAATGGTTTAATATAGAATTATAAAGTCCAAATATTGCATTGTCCCGATTGCTCTGGAAACAAGCTTGTGATGAAATTCATAATTTAAGACCACTTCTGAAAACAGATAGCTTAGTCTCGCCAATAGAGGAACCTGACATCCTGCCCTGGTGCTGACCTGGCATAAAGCCCTTCGTTCTACTTGCCTCTCACAGTGCTGCTGGGCTGCTTGCAAACCTTTAATATTCTCTCTTCTAAAATAACCTGCCTGGTTGATGTTTGTCTTCTATGAGTGCTCAGTCTTGTTCTTTTATTTAAAGTTTATACACTTTCATTCTACAGTGGCACTCCCCAAAAATCCTTGCCTCTCCACAAGGACCAGATGCCCTGTTTTGTCTTTGTGGAAGGACAGAAAAAAAGTATGTCTGAGGATGAGTGAATATTCCTTATATGCTGTTTGGTTCAAACCGGAACACCCTCAGAGCATTTGTAAGTGAGGGCAGCTGACAGGTTCTCCAGGGAATGAAATGTTGGTGAAAGCGAGCAGCAAAGGCTCTTGTGTCCTGCTGGTACAGGACCACCTCTGTGTGAAGAGTGCAAAAAGAGACCAAAATGCTCTGCAGCATTTACTCTGCTAGTGGAATGCAGTCCTCACCAAGCAATGGCCAGGACCTGGCCTGTTCTAGGTGACGTGCCCCGTGCGTTCATACAAGCGGGATAATGAAAGGGCCAGTGTAGCCTTTGTGGCTGCTCTGATTTTGTCCTGCTGGTACAGGACCACCTCTGTGTGAAGAGTGCAAAAAGAGACCAAAATGCTCTGCAGCATTTACTCTGCTAGTGGAATGCAGTCCTCACCAAGCAATGGCCAGGACCTGGCCTGTTCTAGGTGACGTGCCCCGTGCGTTCATACAAGCGGGATAATGAAAGGGCCAGTGTAGCCTTTGTGGCTGCTCTGATTTTATCCAGTTATGTTGCTTTCTTGCCATTAACCATTCTCTGCTGGCCATCAGCACATGGCATGGGCAACATGACAAAGAGTGAGAGTGTAGGAAGCTAGAAAAGCTGTTAAGGAGAATCCTCTGATCAGTACAGTCCAGTTATGGCTTGATGGGGCTTGTTGCACATGTGATACTGTCATCTGAAGGTTGTGAGGCTTTGTGCCATCCTGAGCAGCAGTACTAATACTTCTTCCTCCCTAATTATCATGAATAATGAAGATTCTGAAGCTTAAGTTGGATTCGTAAGTAAACTGTGAACCAAGAGAACTTCACTCATGTCACTTTATTAATATTGATCTGATTTCATTACAGCAGGTTACTGATGTAAAGCTGAAACTGATGCAGTACTGAAAACTGGACACTGTTCTTTAACCTGATACCATACTTCTTGTTTGGAGTTTGCTTTTACAGCGCTGTCAGCACACCTATGGACGGAAACTGTGTGCCCTTTAAATTGAAGTACGGGGGCAGGGCTGGGCGTAGGACCAAGAGAGCCTTGTTTTTATTTCTTGGAACACCTAAGGTCAAGAGTCGTTATTTGTCCTTTGAAACAAAGACCTTTGGACAGTCTTCATAGTGAAATAAGCATGTTTGAGTTCCAGCCAATAGCTTGGCAGGTGACAAATTTTCTTGGGAAATATAACCCACATCAGTTTTGTACTAACAGAAGTTTTCAGGCCTGTGAATATGAAGGATGTGGATCTGCCTGTGGAAAGGTCCATAAATGACATGACATTTTCAAGGAGCAGTCGTTACCAAGTGATCTGATGAGAAATCAAGCTGGAGAGCAATGCTAGCACCATCATGCCTGTGGGGATACCACCTGCAGTGACATGGGACTGGAGGGCTGTTCCAGCAGGTCTGATAAGGGATCAGGACCCTCAGTTATTAGGGTTAAGGACACCAAGCTTCCATGAGTATGGGTCTGAGATGTGCATCTCAGCAAGACAGAGGCAGCAAAATTTTATGAGGTTTCCAAATTTTAATAACGCAGAGACAGCAGATCACTTTCCCAAGTCTCCCTCCTGCTCAATGAAGAATCACTTGCTTGCTTTGCAAGGAAATAGATGCATGAAACTGCACACATCTTTCCTGGGGAGTAAAGGAAAAGTACATTATTCAGAGCAGGGCAGGAGCCATGCTCCTATATTGCTCCCTACATTGAAACACTGAATCCCATAACTTAAAGTAAGAATCTTTGCAAACTCTGAATAAAAGCATAGCAATTTTCTGAGTAAGTGCAAGAAATGGCATTAATTATATTAATGTTATTGTCTACCAAAACTGCTTTCAATCATTTTTATATTCAATAGCATGCATCATCATGAATTGGTGATAAATATAGATGAAAAAAGGTAGTGGTAATGAAAGTTATACAGGTGTAAAATAGAGCATATTTTTAAACTACTATGAATTCACAGCTTCTTGAGATAACATAAATTTATAGGATATGTGCACAACCTAAATTGAATCCTGGAGAATTTTGTGCTGTTCATATGCTAGTTGATTATCCTTTGGACAACGCTGTCTGGGAAAGTTACAAACCTCTATTTCCAAAGCTTCCTGCTCCAAACCTTATTCTGAACCCCAAAGAGCCAGCGTGGGGACAGTACAAGCCATTGTGTAGCGGACATACTTAAGCCATGGTCACTTACTATTTGGGGAGCAGCTATGGAGGCACTGTAACCTCAGGTCCCCAGCCTCAGCCCTCTCCTCCTCAGTCCTGGAAAAGAGAATATAGAAGTAGCACCTTTAACAGAAACAAAGGCTGCTCCCAAATGTACAGAAATGGAAGGGTCAATATCAATAAGAGCACGACATACCTGGGCTCCTCCATCTATAGCCAGCCAGGCCCATTATGGAGACTGTAATGGTCTCAGGAAGGACTCGTGTCCATTGGCTTTGCCCCTGTCGGGGGAAAGCTCATGTAAAGAGGCCATGGGGAATAGAAATGAGGGGCTCAGGGCTGCGTTTCTCCCACTCCTTCACTCTTCAGGATGAGTCTAAGCCTCGGGGACTAACAGCATCGTACAGTACGTGTGTGTTGTAAGTGGGTATGTTGCTAGTGCTACAGCAATTAAGTGCCAGTCCATCTAATTTTCCAGAAGGAACGGCTCTGCAGATAAGCCTTCCTGCGTTGCAGAATAAAGTACAGAATAAATCCAAGGCAGAATGTTGCACTCATCCCTGTGTGCTAATGAAAGGTGAACAGTCAGATTGGAAATTCTTATTGATGTCCATATGAAAAGATACGGACTCTAAATGGGAGGTACGGTAGGTCAGTAGCTTAAAGCCTGTTCAAGTGTCTAGGTGACCAAGGTGGAAATCAGGGCAAAAGGTTGGCATGTCTTTGGAAAGCATTGAGATGTTCTGCACAATATCTTGGATGAGTACAATGGAGTTAGAGAATGCAAGTTGCGAGTAAGATACATCAAAGAAATGTACAAAAAAGGAAAAAAAATAACGTATGAGAATTATGATTTGAAAAGTTCTGATTCTCACAGTGTTGGGAATAGTCCTGATATATTATCTCTGCAATAGCTTTGGTCCCGCCGTCTGTTGCAAACTGCTCCTAGCACTTCAAAACTCCATTTTCTACCCCTGCAGAGACATTTTGTCTGCACTGGTATCACTGGCAGTTTGAACTCCGTTCACTCTAGAATTTCACCAGTAGCATCTGCTTGATGTTGGGTTGGTTTTGCAGATCAGAGACGGGGCTCAGTCAGCAAGAAAAATGTGAGCTCAGCTGCAATGCCACAATGGGTGTTGATGGACAGCTGCATGTTGGCAAATGCTGTGTTATGGATGAGTGAACTGAATCTTCCAGATTTACTTGCTAAATTTGAATGTTGGCTTAACAGCACCTAATAAGTGAGATTTGTTTCACAGGAAGCAGAAGGCTGGATATCAGACTGGAGACAGGGTTGTGCTGATCTCTCGGGTCCCCTCTCCCACTAGTGCCAGGGTGGGCAGTGACTAGCTCTCCAAGAAGAGTTGGCCTGGCTTTGATTTCCACCCTTCCAGGCCCCTACCTGTCACCCCAGGCTTCAAGCCTCACGTCCTCTCACCCCAAGCCTCTACGTTCACTTGTCGCAGATCTTCCTCCCTGTCCCTGTTCCAGCAGCTGTGACTATTGCCCAGGGTCTCCATCTGCATCCCTGGAATTTTCTGCCTTGCCCCAGCGTACCAAAGAAGCCGAGAGGAAAGTGTTTGGTTTTTACTTGAAAGCAAAATCCACCAGAGTTCTGGGAGCAGGAAAAGGTGGTGGGGAGTGGCTGAAAGGGGATTTTTTAATACATACAAAAAGTAAGTCAAGAAACTGGGGACAAACTTGGGAAAGATGGTCAATGTGAACGACCTAGCTGCACTGTCCCTTACCCGAATGGATGTGACTGTAGTGTTGGTGTAGCCAGTTGGTCTAAATGAGTGGAATTCTTGCCAATGTGTCCCAATTATTACCCAGCCATATAAGTCTCCTGCTTGTAGCCCTTATTTTCTCATGGCCTTACCGTACACTTGTGCAGGGTAAGGAGGAAAGTGTGGGATGTCATGACATGACTCCACTGTGGAGCAGCTACATCTCCATGGCAGCAGGCAGTGGCAATGGGACAGTGGTCCTGGCACCACTATCTGTGTTCTGCAGGACGTTACAGAAGCCAAATAGCTGGGCATTGGAAAAGGAGAAGGACCTGGCACATTGACATTTCTTCAGCTCAGTCACATACAGCTTATCAGACCATATGGGAGAGAACAAAAAATCCCTGTCTCTTTGACTTCTCCGGAAGGATCCTCAGAGAAAAGGAAGCAGAAAGGTATGTGGAGGGTTCCTCAACTGCTAGATGGGGTGAACTGTAGACAATGGACCATGCTCAAGATCATATGGGTCAAGAGTGTTCATATGAACCAGAGCAGAAAGAGAAATCGAGAAGGAAGGAAGATACCTGTTATGAACTGATACCTGATAAACTAAAAAAAATGAAAAAGATGAGCAAAAGTTACAGGCAAATATTCAGTTAAAAGGAAAACAGAGAAAAAGGGATAACAATAACCAGTAACAGGACAAAGACTGAATGCTGATATGTTGCAGACAATTCTGCTGATAATTTTATGGAACACTTAATGCATGAATACCTCCAAGCTGTGTCAGTTACTTGTTCTGCCTAAAGTCACACTGAGAGCTAGCGTATCTTTTATATTATAGAGCTATAATATTTTTTTGATTTTGCAGTGTGAGCTACAGATTCTATTTTGTCTGGACTTTTCAAAGTGTCCCGGGCCTGGGAAGGAAGTAATTGTTGAACATAACACTGTGAATCTTTGTGTTTTCAGCAGCTGTTTAAATGTTTTCCCAGTGATAGAAACAGTAAGATGCTTAGCTGTTGAGAGACAGTCTGTGACTGTGGTTGCAGGCAGCCCAAGACCTTGGCTGTCTCTGCGTTAGCTGTCTCTGACTGCAACTTGGTCATGCTTATGCGTGGGCTTAGGGCTGGATAACTACGTGCACTGTTCAGGGTGGAGTCAAACCAGACTGTGGAGCAGCATGTGGGGTGCACACATATATTCATGTGATTTTAAAGGCTGAGGCAGTTCTTAGGATGCGGAGACTGAAGTTAAGCAGCAGTAATGCAGACAGTGCAAGGCTGACATGCTCGGGGAGGGGATGGAGTGAGCTGGTGGAGAAGGAGGGGGTCAGGACAGCAAGACACACATTGATGTGGCTCATCCCCTGCATCTGCTGCACTGGGTGGTGAGCATGGTGCACACTTGTTGAACTGGGAGCTCTCAAGGCAGCATTTCATCTTTCATCTAAGAAGTCTCTAGTAAATCTGTTGTTATATGCGGTTACATGTGATTAAAATTAAGTGGAATGCAATGATACTATGTTTGACAAAGTACTTGCAAGATTAGTGGTATTTTACTGTCAGTATTTTTCACAAAGCAAATTTCTTCTCTGGGAGCAGGAGCCTGTAGGAAAATATTCTAACAAAAAACTTTTATCAGGTAAATCAGGTTAGCACTTTTCTTCCCTGTCTCCCAGAAGATAAACTGCAGCTGTTGGGAATCATGAGAAATCTTTAACTTTCACTAGAAATATACTGCCCTGAGAAAACTGCCTGTTGCACAAAGTCTACTCAACAGAGGCTAGATGCGTGTCTGCGTACCGTGGATGCTGGACCTGCACTGAGGCAGTGGAACATGCAAAGAGGGTAGTGATATGTACAAAATAACTGGAAGGAAGAAAGGCTGGAGGGTTTTATTTATGAGATATGAAAAGGAACATGGAGGTGTAGGAGTAGGAGGGAATGTGAAGTATCCCTGGGTATATGCACAGGAAGGAAAGAGAATTTAAGTTATTTTCTATTTGTGCAAAGGAAGATGGGAGCTAAGGGAAATTGTGTGCTTGCTGGGACTGCTGGCACCCGCAGCATGTAGCAACACTGAGTTGCTAATTGATGATCCCTGGACCTGCTGCAGTCTCAGAGTATTCCCAGGTCACAGTGGTGAAGCTGATGATGAATATGCTAACTTAAAAAAAAAAAAAAGGATGTAATGCTGCACAGCTTTAAATCTCTGGAATGATCCCATGGTAACACTGTCACTGGGCTTCTTATTATGTATTCAGATACAACAATTAAAATGATGTGATATAAAAAAAGAAAGTCATAATCATGGAGTTTGGGAACACCACATGCTTAAGCTGTGTTTGCCACGTGTGTGTGAAGGGGCTTGGAGGATGTGACCAACGAGTGAATTGTTCACACAAATTCATAATGAGCGAGGAAGCTGGGAGGACAGAACAAAATATACAGTCCAGTCACAAAGCACGTGGTAGAGACAAAGCATTGTCTCTCTACACTGGCCAGGGTGGCTCTGAGCAGTACACAGAGCAGCCCCAGGGAGCAGGCTGGGGTATGCACGTTAACTGGTATGGAGCTTGTTTTGAAGGACACGGATCAAACAAGAGTTAAAAACCACTTTGGTCTGTACTGGTCAAGCTGGGACTTGTTACTTGCCTTGGGCATATGTGTGTTAAATACCCTGCTTGGTGCGTAGGTAAGCGCAAACCTTCCTCCCAAGAGACCTGGAAAAGCCTTGATGCTGCATTCGGCTTGTCATTCTCTGGGCCCTTCGCCTCCTTATCCAGCGTGTTGGGTGAAGGTCTCTCAGGTTGCATCTGACATGGATTTGGTTGTAAAGTGTTACGTGGTACTGATCTGTGTGTTTGTAAAAAGGGGAGGGGAGGCCGTGTAATATGGTGAGTGCGAGAGGAGTCAAAATCAACCCACACAATAATACCTGTGTGAGATACAAGGTTACTGTCCTCTAGGCCAGTAATGTATTTTGCTATTTACTATTCCAGAAAGGGCAGTAGTGGTACTTTTATCAGGTTTCTTTAGCATTTCCCAATGTAACTCAACACATTCTGTTGCTTACAATTCTGCAATTCTCACTTCAATGATTTGACTGAGTGTTTTCCCTCACTGAGTGTTGATTTCTCCTGAAGCACTTCCTCGTCACTGTGTTTGGGCTTTTTTTTTCTCACACACAGAATTTTTAAAAATTCACTATAAATACAAAACTAGGAACATCATGGTGGTCTGTTTGAATCATTTCTCTCATCCTTCCAGACCATCTGAAAGGTAGAGTGATAACTTGGAACTTAGGAGAGGAAGAACTGTTAACAACAGAGACTGTTAGTTGATGTTGGGTAACCAAAGTAAAGAGCATGGAAGTTCTCTAGTTCTTCCTGCTCAGGAGAGCTTTGCTATTGAAATGCCGTATAATTTCAGATCTTCAGTCTCCTCAGAACTTCCCAACCACTCTCTTCCACCACTTAGAAACTGCCACATTGGTCACAAGAACAAGAATAAATCCTCCTTATGTTTTCTTTCCCCCATATACCTTTACATGACTTCCAACAATAGGCTTTCGGTGAGGATTCTCTGTACTTCTCAGCTCCTCATTCCATCAAGGTACCCCTATGGAGTCCATCACACCTTCCCTGCAGTGTGAGGTCAATACCTGTGTGTTCTTCACGTTCTGCAATTTTAAGCAAAGCCTTAACCTTCTCACAGGAGAATGAGGGCAGCGAGTATCCCAGCGCAGGCACGTGGGCCAACGAAGAGTGCATGGGTCAGCAGTGCGGCGGGGGGGCAGAGTGAAGGAGTGGCTCTGGGCCTTCAGGGCTCAGACAGGACTTTGGGTCTACCTGAGATCCTGGTAGCAGTGTGGGTGGCACTGTGCGGGTGTTTCTGAAGTGCAGCGTGATATATGTGCTGTGTTTGTGTGGAGGAGCTCAGGAGCATGGGTTGTCGAGGTTCCTGGGATGGGTTGTAGGCATGTGACTATGGAGGATGACAACTCCAAAGTGGCCTGGTGGTGGCTGGAAAAAGCCTCAGGAGCTGTTAGGATTATCAGGAGTTGCCCATTACAGATGCTGAGAAAGGGTGGCTGTAACATTTGTTATATCCCCACAATTTTACCTTTCCAGAGAGGGAAAATAGGCTTGCATTGGCAGTATAGCTTCTTATGAATTCCTGTGAATCAGCTGCATACTGTGAGGGCTTGGCAGTCTTGTGTTTTAATGAGTACGTAAGAAAAGGCAGGCACTGGGACATGACAAAATTTAAGAAAAAACAAATCAAGGAGGATCTTTTGTGTTTGTCTTTAACACACCTCTTCTCCAAGTATCTCAGAGACTTCACCCACATGTGCTGCCACGGGTGAGAGCCTGGATTTTCTGAGACTAGCAGAGTTCATGAAAACCTCCACTGATCGAGCGACTGACTGCACTGACCTTTCTCTGAAGTACTTGATGGCTTCCTGGTCTAGGAAGTTCTGCTCTTCTCGAAAGCCCTGCTCAAAGATTTTGCGCTTGTGTCTGAACTCAATGACAGTCTTAGTGTAAGAGTTCAAGGTAGTGACGGAGGCCGCCATGCAGCAGGTGAAAGAGCCCCATGCCAGACTGTGGAGAGAGAAACCAGCAGATAGAGCTGGGTTAAGACAGCAGCTCATGTTATATTTCTGACGCCAAGAGACAGACATACACAGGATGTGACCAGGCAGGTAAGTCAGTGGTGACAAACCCATTCTCCTCCTCTTACCTCAAACGACCTGTGGCACGTGCTCAGTCATGCAGGCAGGATGTTGGGCCAGGGGCTGGGCACCACTCATCCCATGGAGAACCGTGTGGCAGAATGCAAATGTGAGCGCTCGGTGCACTCCGACAGAAGAGTCAAACGCCTTCTGATTTCCCTTTGAAACCTTGCAGACAAGTGCTAAGTCTATAGAGCACTAATGAACTCCTGGGAGGAGTAATGCCCCAGAGAGCATGTCTTTTGGACCTGTGCAAGTTCTCCAGCATCCGTGGGAGACCAACTCTGCCTTCATCACACTACTGTATTTCCTTCTTTCCTGATTCATGGACATTTCTAGCATTCCTGGCTTCATCTGGACTCTGAAAGCATGACCACAATGGAAGACAGCACTTCCATGCTGTGGAGAGATCCAATCTGGGGGCAGTGCCCCAAGTTTGTGGGCCATGCTAGCCAATCTTGGCCAGCCAGTGGCAGGAGACCTGCAAGTACCGACCAGGAGCGTGGTGAGACAAAGGGAGAAGGAAAGTGGAAGAAAAAAAGTGACTGCCCCAATTCCAGGCTGGAACAGCAGCAAGTGTTGTCCTGAGTCTCCTGGCAAGGAGAGTTCAGCTGGGAGCTGCTCTGCTCCCTCCTCGTGGGCTGGGTTTACCCCTGGGTGTCTTCTGCCTTCCCTGCACGCCTCTGCTCCAGCCTTCACCTCACTGTTCTCAAATTCGGGTGTGGCTGGGGGGAACTCATGGCCCCAAGGAGTTTAGCTGCTTTTTGAGCATGAAATGGGACTGCAAAAAAGGTACTGAATTCCGCCTTTTGCCTGCAGAGTCTCTGCGTTTAGACTCCCCTTGAGTTCACATGCAGCCCATCAGCTCCAGCTACATATAGTTTGCAGTGGCTTCCTAACTAACCTGGATTAATTTAATCATCTGTGTCAGCTGCACACTTTACCTGCTCCTTGATTTCACCTTTTCTATAACCAAATTGAACATTGATATAAATTATGCAGAACAGAATGCATGCAGCCACAGTAGTGTTATCTCATAAATACGCATTACCAACAGGGCCCTCAGCATGAGCTGTTTTCCCATTTTGCAAAGGACCTGCAGACAAGGAAACAGTTTCTCATTTCAAATTAGACAAAACTTGAAAGAGAACACATATTCATGAACTGAAAAATCTGGGGGAAAAAAGGTTCAAGTAAACAGAAATGGCTCATCTCAACAATTTCAAAATTCAGTGCATAACAAGTCCTTTAGGGACTCCCGTGGCAATGGAGTGTGTGGAGGCAGCCCTTTCCAACTCAGTTTTGAACCCGTTTGCAAGATACAATCAAGTGAGAAGTGTAGTGAACCCTGGGGTGATGAAGTTCCCTTGGGTTTTCCATGGTTGGGTGGAGAAGTGGAAAGGAAACTCATGCTGTATGTGTGTCCAGGCAAAGGGAAGCATGGCAAGTGTCTTCCTCCTACGCAGCGTGTGTGTGGAAAAGCTCCAACAGCTCCAAACCTTTCCAGCTGGGCTCCCGAGCAGTATCAAGGAAGAAGCCATCTGAAATCACATGCTTCCCTGTGCCTGGTTGGTGCTGGGGAATAACATATGAAGAAAGACTTCTCTTGGAAGTTTCTGATAGTTTCTAACCATTAACTCAGAAATGCTGAAAGGTTCAGAGAAGGAAATACAGAATGAAGACTCTCAGTGTGACATCAGGTCTGGCATTTGGTAAATCATCATAATGAGACAATTATGACTGATATGTTTTAGTTTCTATGGACCTTGTTTAAATGTTATTTGTTTTTAAGTGTAAAGAGTGGTTCTCCTCCCTGTAAGAGTTACATCCTGCCTTAGGTGAAGACCTCTTTATCAGCACTGCCCCTCCGTGCCAGCTGTGCCCCAGATGCTGTGGGACTCTACCTATAGTGCCTCTGGTAGCTGAGGTGAGGGCTGGGGCTCTAACAGCTCAGGTTTTTGTATTTGTTTTCTTTCCAGAGGGGCCAAGCTTGAACATCCAGTGATCCTCAGAGTCACTGAAACCCCCTGCCTGGAGAATCCCCCTGGCCCACTCCTGGCTTGTGCCAGAGCACAGACCAACCCTCAGTGGCTTTGGGCTTCGCCAATGGCTTGGAAATGGGGTAAGATAACAGGGACCAAGCCGTGCGTTTTCAACCCTGGGACAACTGAGCGGATCACAAGCAGCCCTTCCTCATTTTGAAGACGTATTTTTATTGTTCCTTTTTGATAGGGGGTAAATAGAGTCACAGAAACAATAATAGTTTTCCCATTGGCACTTGTGAAACAAATGGCAGTCTAGATCTCCACTCGTGCCCTTTGGCTCTTGGCCGTGGGAAGGCTGTTCCCTGGCCCCACTCATTCTTCAGGCCATCACCTGAACCCAGATGGAGCAGAAGGAAATTCCTGCATGTGCAGAGTTTCCAAACTCCACCAGGCTGGGTGGGCATTTGTTTTTAGCCCTTCTTAAAAAGGGTGTTCAAGTGCGGGCAATGCCAGGGGAGGTTGTAGCTCTCTAGCCCGTACAGCAGTGGTGGTTCAGTGTTAGCTGGAAGGAAGAAACCTTGGTTTTGCTGGGTTTGGCTTTCAGACCTGTTTTTGCCAGGTCTGCTACCAGCCCCTGGCATGGCATGAGGAGCCCCACAGCCTTCCTCAGGCTGCAGAGCAGCACTGCAGGTTGAAGGTGCTGCTGCTGTCTGCGCCTGTCCCAGGGGAGCTGCGGCTGAGCTGGTGTTTGCACCTCGCCCAGCATCCTCCGTAGGTTACCAAATCCGAGGGGTCCTTCGTGACAGCTCAGCTTTCGCCAGCGTGAACCCACAGCGGTAGGGAGTGAAGCTGAGCTCCCACTTCAGGAGTAGGGGAAGAGCTGAGGTTGCTCCCATGTGTTTGCGTGTGGGTGTCTATTCCCAGTGTCCTCCACAGAGATGCCTAACCCAGGGCCAGTCCTGGTCTTCAAACCAAAGCCGGCGGTGCCCTGGCTCTGCCTGCCCGGGGAGCTGCAGGCAGGGGAAGCTACGTCTGCGCTGGACACAGCTGTGGTGAGGAGAGAGGCAGCAGGATGTGACGTGGGCTCTGAACACCTCGCTCCGAGCACAGGTAAGACAAGTGGGCACAGGAGGGCTCATTGTGCCCCATTCTGGGACATGGGCTTTCTTGCACAAGAAAGTCTTGCATGAGATGAAGGAGAATAATCTAACGAGTGCGTTGTCATGCTAGACATTTAACAGCATTCTGAACTTTGAGTATTGCAGTCAATTATAAAATAGGTTACCGAAGGCAAATGAATAGAAAATGTGCCTTATTATTTAAATATATTAATAATTTTACAATTATTATGACAGAATTGTTATAAATATTTATATAAAGTTATAAATATATGAAGGTGGTACATTTATAAGTTCATCACCAGATGCAATAAATATTCATTATTGATACACAAAATAATCGTATTTTAAATATAATGCGATTTGTATTCTGTGACACGTTACTAAGAAGAGTTACTCCCCCCATGAAACACATAGTTAGGGCAGAAGGAAAGACTAATTCCTTGCAGTGCTGAGCATAAGGAGTATTTGTATTTATTGACTGGTGTTAGCAAAGGTTGTTGGCTCTGCTTTGAGATGGAATGAAAATAATACGCTATATTTAGAAATGAAAAAGTAAGTGTTTTCCCTAGCCGTCCGAAGAGCCTGATGCCTCCAGAGGGATGTGAATGTTGTTTGCAGGTATTCCTATTCTCCAGAGTCTCCTATTCTTGTTAAGCTTCTTATAAACTTGCCAGCAATAGAATAAAGTTGACGTATCTTGGCCAGAGTATTTTAATGTAATTTTTAGAAGAGAAATGGCAAAGGTAAAAAAAAATTAAAAATCAGTCTTTAAAATGTCATATCCATTTTCCCAAGCCTTCTCCTCATGATCCACAGGGAAGTATCACGGTGCCAGGAGCACTATGCCTCCCTCCCTTCCTCTGCAGTTGTGTTAAAAGTTGCACTCTAAGGTTCAACCGAGACATTAATTAAAAACCAAAAAAAAAAAAAAAAAAGCTAAAAGTGTCTGAAATGCCATGGCAATTATGTACCTAAATTGGACTTTAATGAGAGTGCTCAATCTGTGTTGGTAATTGTGGCTGCTGTTTATTTACAAATGCTATGTACCTGCTGATACGCACAGCTGCTGCTGCCGCAGTCACTGATAACTGTCCTCTAACACCTCCACACATGGGCGTCCATGGTGGGTTTTTGCTCCTAGCATTTCGGCAGCTGGAAAGCCACATGCGTGTTCCTGGAAATTTGGGGTGATAGGTACCGTCTCCCAGCAGACTGATGGAACAACTCAAAAATGAAAAGATATTAACTGACCGTGACACTTACCAGAAGGACCATCCATAGTCCCATGAATGTGGCCGCCAGTCCTCCGGCCCAAGGCTGACTGTCACTTGGAACACCTGCGTATACATCATGTGTGCCACCATCCCCAGGAGACCTGAGAAACAGGGATTACAACAGGAATTTTTACGCCACTGTTTTTTTAATAATTCTTGAGATAGATACAGCAGTAGCTTTGAAAGCTCCAAAAAAGTCTTTGTTGTACTTTCATGCCTCCTATTCTACTGTGGAGGAGGGAGCTGCATGGGCAGAGGAAAGGTGTGACTGAGAGCTCATTATTTTACATCATACTGAATTTTCAATTAAGAGAAGAGTTAAAGAAAGAAAATCGTGGAAGAAAATGTTGCACAATTAGCATCACCACCAGCCTTGCTGCTGCAAAACAGGGGTATGCCTCCCACAAGTTATCTCACTTAGCCCAGCGCAGACAGGCCTCAGGTAAGGGAATAAGGGAAGAGGCTGCTGTAGGCAATGCAAGATTGAATGTGTTAACGCCAAACAACGATATTTCATCTGAACAGTTGCTGAGGTTTATAAATTTGAACACTTATGCAACACGTGGAAGTGACACGAGGCAGTTAACTCAGTACTGCTGATGGTGTGCGCTGAGGGGGTACCACAGGGACACCTTTGATGGTACAGTATTGATGATGCATGCTTTGGTGACATCCTTACACTTTGCTGAGGTAACTACAACTGGGTGAAGATGAGGCAGTGTAGTAGACACTCTGCTCATCGTGATGCTAAAAAATGGGGTTGCGGTTAGATCACTGACGTTGCTCTGCCACTTCGTTGGCCAGCACAGTTCTTCAGCTTAAGCAGAAAAAAACTGCCAGATTTCTTACACCTAGACATCCCTTTGAGGAAAATCAAAACCCTCTTTCCAGAAGCAGTGGCCAGTAACAGTTCTGATGCTTGGAGAATTTTCTAGCTGCAGCAGCTGGGGATGTGCCTGCTTTAGGTCCCAGGCAGGGCAGCATGATGTCCCCTGCTGAGCTCAGGAAAAGCCTGGGTGCCGGCAGATACTAAACCATGCGGCAGGAGCGTCATTGCCCAAACAGACCTTGGATCTACAGTTGTCAAAAGCCTCTTGTGCTGCACCTTGAAATACTGATGTTCTGCCACAGTGGGGTAAAACGTTGCCCCTATTTGCTCCTTAACCAAAGTTGCCATTTACCATTACCTCTGACCATTCACTTTTTTCCACAACTGCCCTTCCTCACCTTTTGCAACAGTTGCCCATATGGCAGATCTTCATTTTCCCTTCCCAGATCAAAATTTTGGCTCTTCTTTCCCGCTTGCTTTCAGAGTCTAAAGCACTTCATTAGTCTCACCAGAGATGTGGATGATTCATGGCTGTTCCGGGGGAGGGAAGTCGAGGAATGTCATGTTTGTGTTGTGGGTATGTTAAGCGGGACCTCAGCGAGACAAATGTCATATTGATACAAACAGCTGCAGAGGCTGAAAGAAGACATTTTATTACAAGAAACTGTGGTGATTTGCTCAGCTGCCTCGTGTTGGTGTGACACACTGGGAAGTTAGGAGGTGGAAAGAGCAATTCACATTGGAAAAAACGATATTTTGGTGGGGTGGGTGGCCTAATGGGGGCACAGGAAGCTCGTACACACCTTGCTTGTTTCTGGCTATATTTAATTTCTCGAATTCACTGGGAGATTGCTGTACTTTTTAAATCAATGGATTTTTCTCCAGCTGACAGTTAGGGCGTTGATCTTAAAGTTTGGGATTTGCAGTTCCTATACCTACTGTCAGTAATTTTTCAGCCTTAATAAAATATTACAGACTGCCCTGAGACATGTCATCGGGAGGCTTGACGTGGCCAGGACTAGCTGCAGCAAGGATGTTCTGCTCTGTCGTGTCGTGCAAATGTTTAACGGGGTTTCAGCATTGTCCAGACCTTTCCCTATGTGGGAGGCCAGGATGGCAGTCCACTGGCAGAGGTTGAGTAGGAGGCCACCAGCAAGTCCTTCTGTAACACGGGGATCACAGTGAAAATGTGTCACTTGCTGCCTGTTCTGCCTAATGGCGGGAAGGGTTGGGGGTGGACATGGACCTGGCTGTGCTGTCCATGGCATTCTGCCATGTGTAAGCTATTGCAAACCCATATGAGTCTGCCTTTCATCGCGCTGCTTCGTGCACTTTTGGGTTGGTTTGTTCCCAAACACCCATCGGTTTGGTCTACTTTAGATGTACTTCGCCAAGTGCTCCATGGGGATATCTTCTGATATTTTATGTTGTACATTTAATGGTCACATGTTGGATAAAAGGACCTGCCTGTAACGTAATTCAGCAAATGCTGTATTTACAACATCATCTTTTTCTTCAACCAGCTGCTTAAAGCTGGAAAAAGAGAACAAATGCCTGTGTGCCCATCCACCTGGGGTCCAGGGCAACAGATGCTTCCAGGTAGAAAATCCTGATAATATGGTGGACTGGAGTGGATGGGAGTGCAGAAACACTGACCATTTACAGTTGGCTTGAGATCATTAGCTTTGCAAGACCAGAGCTGTTTCTAGGAGAGCTTAAGGAAGCAAATTTGGAAAAGGCAATATATTTTAAAGATTTTAATATACTTTTAATAAAAATATTATTTATGGAATACATCACATGGATTAAATGTAAATTATAGATATTACATGAGGGATGTATATAAATTGATTAATTTGTATAAGGTTAAGAATAATTTAAAAAGTCCATGTTGTGGGGTTTTCTTAATGCCTCATAAGAGGTTAAGTAACAGCAATAAGTGGCCACACTGTTAGGATATTTTTTCCTAACATTTAAATGTTGAGCTACGAGAGTATGAAGATCACATTGCACTATTAGGTGGGAACTCGAGCATGAATTTAATGAGAGATGTGTTGCTCCAAGGCAAAACCCTCTTTGTTATCTGGTTTCTATAAAGCTGTGTCATTATAAATATGCTAAGATTAAATAAATATGCTTTTATTCACAATGAGGGTGTTGAGGCATGGGAACAGGTTGCCCAGAGAAGCTGTGGATGCCCCATGCCTGGAAGTGTCCAAGGCCAGGCTGGATGAGGAGCACCCTGGAGCAACCTGGTCTAGTGGAAGGTGTCCCTGCCCATGGCAGGGGGGTTGCAACTAGATGGTCTTTAAGGTCCCTTCCAACCCAAACCAGTCTGTGACTCTATGATTCTTCTTTCTTTTGAGATCTCTGTCACTGAAAAAACACCAGCTAGCAGCAGTTTTTTAGTGTGTGGTTTTTTTGCTTCTTTCTATTTTTTAATCTTTTTTCTCTGTAAAATTTTAAAGTTTATATTTGGAACATCATGGCAATGTACTTACAAAGAGGGAAGGAAAACTAAAAATAGAAAGATGGGTAGGAAAGAAAACTTCATCATTCTTACAAAACTTAAAACTGCAGATAATGGTGAAGAGAAAGAGAAACCGCATGAAAATGATTGTTTGAATGCTGAAGAATTTTACATAGTTTGATTCTGAAAATTGAACCTACTTTTTTTAAAAAATGTAAATTACATCCAAAGCTGAGAAATATGCTTTGGCAGTTTTTACCAGAGTTTTTTTTGCTCTTTCAGCTCCACTTCTGATCTAGGTTTTATACCACTGACTATATTTCACAATTTGAAGCTATCCCTGAAGATAGAAACTCCTTCACAGAAATGTACGCTGCATGTTATAATATCTTTCAGCTTGAAACAGGGCAGAATAAAATGCACTTTTATTGCAGAAGTTCTTTCTGCCAGAGAGGTCCTTGCAGGAGTGCTCATGAAAGCCAGCTGTGGCTGGTTGCTTGTATAAATCCTAGGAAGTGGAGTTTTCACTCAGCACAGAAGTGAAGGGGTACTTAATTATATGATTATATTTGATAACTTCTTTTAGAGAAGTGAATTCCTCAAGTTCATTCACTGAAGGACTCCAAGTACAGACCAAGCATGAAAATAGCCTGAATAGTTGTTCTGAGAGATGTTCATGTCCTCAGGTTACTCTTGGGGTTGCTCCTAAGTGAGATTACTAGAACTGTCTTCATTCTCGATTTTGCTAATGAACAAGATGTGCTTCTGTCTTTGGTTTGAAGCAGTAAGCTTTCACCGACTTTTAGGATTAACACAAGAAAAAGAATTTTTAATGCTCTATGTTTCTTACTGGATAATTGGTGTGATGATGCTGAAAATGGAGGCTCAGGCAATGGGCAAGGTAATGGCTGTGTGGGCTGGGGGGAGGTTAATTACTGCACTGTGAAATCAGGAATATGTGTTTTCACTTCTCCCTGGTAAGAGGCAAATTTATCATGCAGTCCTTGTTCCAAAGGAACAAAAAATTGTAGTGAAAAATGCAGTAGTGAAATGGGGATAAAAGGGTCTTGTAGCCCCCAGTTTTCATTCTCTCAAAGTTTTAGATTCTTTTGTGGTGGCTCCTCTGGCAAAAGGGAAAGGAAAGGTTCATACCTGAAAGCACAGTGAAGACAGCAGCAAAGGCATTTAACTTGAGCCCATCTATCACACTGCTTGAATGAAAGAGCTCGAGGCACATAAGGCTGAATCCGACGACTAACAGCATGATGTATAACACCTCGGATACTACTGATAGCCACAGGACACCTGCAACGCACAAGAGCAGCAACCGGTCACTTATGCGGTAAGTACTTTCAAGAGGTAAAATTGGTAAAAATTAATTAGGAGATCGGGAATATCTAGAAGTAATTAGGTGTTCAGAAAGTTTAAATTTCATAAACCACCACCCAAACTGAAAAAAGAGAAATGGTGAATGAAGACGTGAAGAATGGCAAGGTGGTAAAGATACTGCAGAAAGAACAAGCTGTTGCCTAAGATCCCCGCTTGACTAAAAGACCTCTTTGAGTACATCTAGAACCTCTTGGCTCCTGTGACCCAACATGTAGGACACAGAGTCCATTTTCCATCCCTGTGTCATGGTATAGATGAGCAGAATCCAGCATACGTGTGGTGATGGTGCTTACTACCCAACAGTGTATGGGCTGGTGGGAGATGAACAGGCTTGGATACCTCTTTTTTACAAGACTGTTCAAAGAAAATGTTCTCAGTCCAGGTTTTAAAATGCTTATCACAGCATAGTGTTGGGGCCTGTTATTAGAAACTTTCTTCCACAGAAACTCGGTGTCCTGCGGAATGACTCTTCTGGCTTGGGTGTTTGGATCCACTACACAGATCTCTGCTGCTGGGACTATACGTGAAAACTGCCAGAATACCTGGGGGGTGGAGCCAGTTATTTATAACACACTCTGCTGACGAGCTGCAGATACTAAATTTGGGCTGCCTTCTGTTTTCTCGACCCCTAGGTAACATCTCCCAGGTGAAGGGCAGAGTCAATGTGCTCGTTTGAGAGGCATGTTCTGCAGGACTTTGGGGTCGAGCACAGGTAAGTGGTTTTGGCAGTATTTGGTAGTGGCCAGCTGAAACCAATTCTTCCACGGTAGATGCTACACGGAGAAATTTCAGCAGAAACCCTCTAGCAGGATCTGCTGAGTCCTTTAAAGCCATGGGGTGAATGTGAGAGGGTGGTAACAGATGATAATATTGAGTCCCTGCCAGATTTCCAATTGCTGTTTCAGCATGAAAATCTGCTAGAATTCTTCAGTACATTTGCTAACCTGATTGCTAAAGAATTCACCTGGAAACAATGAGCAGTGATGGAAAATTTCAGCCTAAGCAGTTGAAACATGGAAAGTTAAGCATCTGAAGACAATGGCTTATATTAGAAAATGTTAGCTGTAACCATAGAGACTGCTACAGGCTTCACTTATGTTAATACATTCTCTCCTCCTGTAAGAACATATGTGTGATAATGCCTATGGTTGAGCTTATCAAACCAGATATGCAGTCTCACTTTTATCAAATACTTGAGTGTCCTCTTGGTGACCAGGATGATCCCAGTTCACATTTTGCCTGGGAATATGTATTTTTGTAATTACAACTAATTAACATGTGCTATTAGTTGTTGGTACCATATCTGACCTTTTGAGTTTTTAACAATATCATAGTAATAAATAAACCTTGTAATTTCTCACAGTGACTTTATGTGTAATATTGCATCTATCAACAGCAAACAGCTGTTTATCTCACTCCTGTTAGTCAATTTAGTGGCAGGGCAACTGGCACACTCTTCCAAAAAGAAATACGAGTAAGAGACAGCAAGGGTGTTGTTCTGTGATACAGCAGGATTATGAAGGTATTTTGCCTCATTTTCTCATAAACAGAAGTTTCTATGACAAGAAAATGATGAAATGGTTTGAGTTGGAAAGAATTAGATTATGTAAACCTGAACTATAAACTGAGGCAGCAAAGAGCCCTAACTAATGTGTTCTAATTCATAAGTGTTTCAGCCCAGACTTGAAGGACTAATGTATAACATACCTGTCCAGATACTTATTGCCCTGTTTTGACTCTTGGGGATACTCACTGCTGGTATCTACACACCAGGGCAGTGCTGTAGTAGTGACTGCAGCTCAAGACTGTGGTGTGGTTCTGTCTTCTACTTCCTTAGGTGAACAACTGGCTGAAGGGCTGGGCTCAGAAAGTTGTAGTCACTGGGGTCACATCAGGCTCGTGGCCAGTGGTGGTCCTCAGGGCTCAGTTTCAGGGCCAGTTCTCTTGGATGTTTTTATCAATGACCTGGACACTGGAGTTGAGCACACACTAAGCAAGTTTGCTGGTGATAGTAAAGTAAGAGGAGATGTTCAGTCCCTCGAGAGTAGAGAGGCCTTAGAGAGACACATCTTGATATATTGGAGTGTTGGGAAATCACTAACTGTATGAAATCTAGGAAGGACAAATGCTGGATTCTGCTCCTGGAACAGTGTAATCCTGGCAATACATACAGACTGGGGAACAAGAGGCTGGAGTGCACCCCTGCAGAAAGGGATCCGGGAGTTTGGTTGATGGCTTGGGTGTTCAGCTGGTGTACACCAGCTGTATACAACTTCTAGGCATTGCCTACCTATGAAACAGTGTTTGATGCTGGATGCTGTAGACACGAGTGTAGTGGGCTTGAGAAATGACGGGAAGCAGAAGAGCTGCACACATGTCTCTATGGGAAGCCCCACATTAACACGTCCAGTGTTAATGGACAGTGCATCCCCCAGCAAGTGAGGGGATGCAGTTAGAGGCAGCCTTGTGCACATTCAGAGCGATGGGAGGGCTCGGGGAGGGGAGGATGGAGGACATGGGGGCCCAGTCAGTGTTCTTTATCCTGCTGGTGGAGGAGAAAGGAACACCTGACTGTGACTGGTGTCACAGGGAGTGCTTTGGCTTCTTTAACCACAGGGCCCTCTTTGAGGAAGTAGGATGCTGCTGAGAGGAATGGAATCCATCTGGTCAAATGGGGCAAAAAAACAAGGAGATCTTCAAACCTCTTAAGCTGCTGAAGGCTTGTCATAATTTGAAGACCTGTAAGGGCATGGGGAACAGCAAGGAAGTATCAGTGGGGCTGGAGCTTATGACATACAAGGTAAGGCAGAGTGAGCTTCACCTTCTCATCCTCTGGAAGAGAAGGCAAAGGTCTTGCTGTCTACAGCTACCCAATGGAAGGACAGAGCCAGAATCTTAGAGCTGAACAGGGGTAGGATAAGACAAAATTTGCAACATCAGAAATATCAGACTACTAAGAGAAAAGGTGGTCAAACACTGGAAGAGGAGCCCAGTGAGGCTGTGGGATCTCTGTCCTTAGAGACACTCAGATCTGCATGCAACATGACCCTGAGCATTTGGATGTAATGGACATGCTTCCAGCTGGGGATTGGACTAAAGGCTCCAGAGGCTTCTTCCACCCTAAAGCATATATGAGTTTTTAATTGCACAGTTGCTAGGTGTAATGTGCTGGGGGAGCAGCTGGAAGGAGGAAGGTAGCTGGGATAGGGATAATTGGAGTAGAAAGAGTTGAACTATTGCTCTGATGAACAGCTCAATGAGACATGCATTTTGCTGACCTGTGAAACCTTTTTCCAGTGAGGCAGAAAGACTGTGTTTTCCATGGAAGACATAGGCAAATCTTTAATCTCTTTTGGGCCCTGTTCCTATCTGGAAAGAAACTCCACGTCTAACTCTCATGTCTTATTTCATGGTGTACACTGAATATCTGCTCTGTGCCTTTTTTAATGTTGGGGAAGGTAAGTCACAGATGGAGTGTTCGCATAGTTCTATGTCCTGTCCTGCCTTCTTTCGAGTTTCATCTGAAATAATAACATCCAGAAAACACAAGCTATATCTGGATTTTCCACCTTCCTGTGGCTGCCAGAAGCAGAAGAGTTGATTCTGGTTATTAATTCAGGAGACAGTGTCTTTCTGTTCTGTGCTGATGGTGAAGTGATCTCCCACTGCTCTTCTCTCAACATGAGATTCATAAAGCAGTCACTTGGCATCACTTACTTACACTTACAATCTCTTACAGCCTCCTTCCTGCAAAGTAGATAGCTCCTTCCCTTGAGGAGACCTCAGTCATTCCGGGTGACAGGGAAGAAGCTCTCCAGAGGATTTTTCTCT